CCTACTTGAGTCTTAGAGAGGGCAGGAGGCAATGTATCACAGGGCATGAAGGAGCTGTGGGGAAATTCATTCATTCAGTCATTCATTCATTCCTGTATTAATTCTACAAATATTTATTGAGCACCTACTAAGCGGCAGGCATTCTGCTTGGCTTGGGTTCATGGTACAGATCAGAAATGAAGCCCCTACTCATTACACCCCAACACTTCTTTCTGAGATTGAACTCTTTTTCATACCTACATTCATCTTCACTACTATTGAGTACTTTTAAATCCCTATTATAGGTTCTATTAGCTGATTTTGGCAATACTTTTGTATTCAATTCAAAGATATGTCATATGGGGGTGGCTCCATAGTATAGTGGTTAGCACAGAAGGTCCTGGATTCGCGCCCCAGGTGGAGCTATGAACCATATCTCGGCTACGCCAGGCCCTGGGTGCTCCAGGCCCCGGGTGCGTGCTGTGAGCGTGTGGGAGGACACGTCCCACCTTCAGAGATCCAGTTCTTAAGGGGAGATGGCAAAATCCGTAGGTCATGGGTGGAAGTGGGGTCACGAGAATTAAAGAGGGGAAAAAAAGATATATGAAAACTAAAATATATAACAGTTTAAGGGACAACCTTTGCAGTTTGGGTCTCAAAGCTTTGACATTTATCCCACCTCCACACCTGGACCATCATCTCCAGAGTCCCAAGGAACTTTTAAATTTGAAAACCTTCATATTTCAAGGTACTACACAATGTGTGAATGTTAGAAGTCTCTGAGTATGGCAAAAAACATTTAGAGAAAATAAGTGTTCACAACCTTCTCTTGAAGCTGAATCAGGCTTGTGGGGACCATGTGACATTGTGGGCTCACTGCAGATACTTTTGCCAGCCCATGAAGATGGCCCTGACCTTCTACCTTAAGGACGAAGGCCTGCACCCAACTCACCTGTTACAGGTTCCACCACCTGTGGATGTAAGTGACTGTGAAACTCATCACCAGCAGCACCTTGAAGCCCAGCAGGAACACCACAAAGGTAATGGCAGGTGTCTCTGGACCTAAATACCAATGAACAGAAGGAGACACCAAACGGGGCTACGTGAATTTAAATACTGCACTCACTCAGGAGACAGAGGTGACCCAGCTGCACCTAGGACTGGAGGCAAGCTTGCGTGGACTCCCAATGGGCTTGTATGTGGCATGACTGCTGTGGATAGTATGATTCTGCCAGATGGGAATATGTGCCTCATGGTATACCTTATAGGTGAATACCTGTTCAGCCCCCTTCAATGACACTTTCACCAGCTGTAAGCTTTCTGGAGTTTAGATCTCATTGCCATTCTGCTTGGACATGGTTGCCCAGCTCCTTTGAATATATGGCAGTTCTCTAGCCAGGTGAGATGCATACTCTACTCTGTGTTAGAATCTCTGCACGTGGCAAGAGGGGAATGAAGACTGAGATATTGTCACTGCAGGAGGAACTAACACAGCCCAGAGAAAACAAAAACGACTCTAGGAAGTCCACTGTGGGAGCCTGGGAGCTCCTTGAGGATGGGGCCATCCGCCCAGGGCCTGACACAGAGGAGTATGTAAGTATTGGTTAGCTGATGCTTGCATAAGTAACTGCATGATGGATGAGAGTGTGAATGCATGAGTGAATGAATGCATGGTTGGATGGATGAACGTATGTGTCGAAAATTATATGAGAATATGAATGGGATCAAAGCCATCCTACTCTTTCCATGTTTCCCTATTGGTCATCCTGTCATAGGTTACAACATGGATTAAACTTGAGGACGTTGTGCTAAGTGAAATAGGCTAGTCAAAAACTGACAAATACTGTATGGTTCTTTGTATAAGAGGGACCAGATGAGTCATACTTAGAGACTCTCCCCTAGATGTTCCAGAAGGAATGTGGACCTGCCAACCCATTGTAGACTTCTGACCTCCAGAACTGTAAAATAATAAATTTGTCTTGTGTTAAGCCATTAAAATGTGGTTACGGTGGCAATAGGAATTTAATCTAGGAAGACAGGAATATTTAAAAGGACAGATAATTAAAGGGAGAGCAATAATTTAAAGTGCATAACTTCTGGAGTGGGGGAAGGCAAAAAATAAGAAAGAAGTGCTGTTTGGCAATTGAGTGATGAAGAGAAACAGAAAAAGGGGAAGGAAGAAAATTTAGGGTCCTGAAAAGGAGAAGAGAACCAAAAATTTTAAGGAGTCAGAACCTTTCTCACAATATCAAACCCAACCAACAAACCAAAATGGATTATCCTGTACTGACAGAGAGAGATTTATTAAGATAGAAATATGATAAAGGACTCCAATACCATAAACATGAACAAAAAGATGTGCATTCTTATTCAGGCCTATTGGACCAGGACTGCAGTGGCTGGATCCCTCAGACACCGAGGTAGACTGTAGCATCCTGGTGCAGAGGGTCACATTGACATCTTGCACTTTGCTCCAGCCAGCCAATCTAGACAATCCCCCAAAACATTTTCTGCCTTAGTACTTTGCAAGTGTGCTGGTCAGTCATACTGAGAGAACTCAGAAGTAATAGCCTGATCAGAAGAGACAGAGACTCTAAAGCAAAACCAGGCTGATCCAGACAAAATGACTTGGACTCATTTCTTCTGCTCTTCTGTTCAGTACAACTCTAACTCCTAGAAATTATACCAGGTTCAAGCATAGGAAGATGGTGGAAAGGGAAGATGAAGGCAGACTGGCTAGGGACCTGATATCTAGAGGAAAATCACACTGTCCAGGCATTGTAGGTTTCACTCTCCTAACTCCCCAGGCACACAATGTGGCCATGTGTGGCATTAGCAAAAAGAAAAAGCCTAAACTCAGTCATCTAGGTTCTCATCTCAGAAATGAGAAAAGGAGGACCAAACTCAACCCAAAACAAGCAGAAGAAAAGAAATAATAAAGAGGGGGGAAATCAGTGACATTGAAAATAGAGAAATAATAAAGAAAATCACTGAAACAAAAAGAAGGTTCTTAGAAAATATCAATAAAATAAAAAATTTCTATCAAGATGGAGGAATGAAAAGGAACAATGGCACATTTTCAGTATCAGGAAAGAAACAGGGACATCACTGCAGACCCTGCAGACATCAAAGGGATAATAAGGGACTATTATGAATAATTCTACATGCAGACATTTTTAGTAAGTGCTGGTCCATTTTCCCAAATTAGGGAACAAAGGAGAACTGTACTGTGACCACTTGCAGTCGCTTGGGTGCTTTGTTCAGACTCAAACTCTATGTTCTCGAGGCTCACCTTCCAGAATTTGAGAGTAGTAGGTGCAGGCATCTGCTGATGCAGTTGGAAAAGTCTAGCATGGAATAGAGACTAGGAAGCGATTAGAAATAGCAAGGAGGTGGGTGGGGAGCTGACACGTAAAGCAAACACAGTAACAGGTGAAGAAATCCAGAAGCAGGACGCTATGAACAGATCATTTCCCTCTTCCCTTCTTTATTTCTTCAGTGTATGTATATTGATTGTCAAAAGATCTGCAAAGATAAGTGTTTGTACCAAATTCTTATTAGTGGTGACTCTGGGAGTGTGAGATTTCTGGAAGCAGAATTCATTTCAAAAATCCTTCTATCTATAGATTTCTAGATTATTCTGTAAGTATAAATTCATACTTAAAATGTTAAAAAAAAATAAGGATAAAATTTAAATAGAGCTGGGTCAGTTAGAGTGGAGGCCTCACCGTGGATTTTAACTGTCCCCTGAGAGGTCTTCAGGGTAAGGTTCTTGGCGACCACTAGCTGCCCATCGTGCTCCACCTGGCAGGTAAGCACCACATCTTCCCTGTAGGCAGATGAAAACACCAAGAGCCAGCTCGTCGAGTTAAAGGTTCCATCCTTGTTCACTGTGAGAGTCGAAGCAATTTCTCTACGAGACACGTTCCCATTCTCCAACCAGGTCAGCTGTAGGCGCTGGGGGTAGAATTTCTTCACCTGGCAGGTGATGTTCACCTGGTTCTCTGACAAGGGGTGTTGGGTAACATCCACGGTGGGCAGAACTGAAACAGCACAGGGTAGAAGCTCTGACCTCACAGAAAAGACAGATCACAGGGGTGGAGGCTCCATAACTTTGCTCCCCCCAC